AGCATCAGTATTTAGCCAGTTGGTAAGTAAACAGACCAAGAAAAAGACTAAGAAAGCAGCCTGTGCAAGTGACACGCGGTGGGCGTGGTCGTTAATTATTGCAATAACCATTAATATTAAATTATGCAAATAGTTCGAATAGCAAAAAAACTATTCGAATATTGCTATAACGAACGAATATTCGAATATCTCACTATTCGTTTCAGCCCTAACACTAACCCTGTTATTGATTTAGTGTTGTACATTATGGTGAATAATCTGACTTACATGTACATGTATGAGCAACACATTATAAATTAATTTCTCTCCCTCTCTCTCTCTCCATCTCTTTTCATGTACAGAGTCACTTACCGTTTGTCCAGTGTCCGAGTTACGTCCCATTAGACACTGGGAGGTTGGTAAATACTTTAAATCATTTGCTGGCAACAGATATATTCCAAATAATGCCCTTGAAGAGAAATACCCAAACACAGCTGCAGATTAGTGACCTTCGGCCAATTTATAATAATTAAATAAATAATTATTAATATTCATCAATTACCATATAGCCAAAAAATTTTGTGAGGAATAAATTTCCATATTTTCGTGATCACTGTTTGCATCACGAAAAATTAAACCCCCGAAAATAAATATTAGTGAAATGCAGGGGCGGATGTAGGGGGGGGTTTGTGGGGTTGCAACCCCCCCAAAACATTCTAACTCAAAAAATTTTTAATGTTTTTATTGTTGCAACAGTGGTAGAAGTGCTAACTACCTAGTTTATATAGCAACATTACTGTGGTTAATGAATATAATTAACAAAGAATGAGCTCCAAAAATGGTAGAAAAGTTGATTTTCACGTGATTTTAACCACAAAATGGTGCTGAAAAGGGGGCGTGGCCAAAATTGCGGCGCGCTTCGTGTGCCATTTTTCCTCCCAATCCCCCATTTGTAAAATCCTAGATCCGCCCCTGAAATGGTGTGGTCAACCACACCTTATACTAATACACGTGTGTGTGCATGGCTGCGTGCATGTTCTCAGCCTAGCTGATATCTCTGTATCGCTATTCTAAACCTAGAGGCAAGGTCAAAGATGATCTCCCCGATCACTACTGGTGTCCACACTGTTTTGTAGATGCGGTACCCCCTGACACAAGAGTCCTTCTCAAACGTTGCATCCGCCATGTTTTAATTAAAATGGGTGTGTTCAATATTATTATTAAAATAAAATCATGAAAAAAATTTTTCACAGAATTTAAAATTTCCCCATAAATTTCATTATTCATGAAATTTTAAGCCTCGAAAATTTTTGGCTATACGGTAATCCACAATTGTTGTATTATATAAGAGACACTTCATTTCAAATACAATCCGCAATTATTATTATTATTATTATTATTTATTGTTCTTGTTTCTTAATATTTAGTTATGTATATATTTTTTTCATAAAAGTTTTAATTTTTCTTTCCATTTTAAAACTCTTTCTTCCAATAATCTGCTGACCTCAGCATCACTGAGAACTGGTAACTACAAAAAGACGGTCGAATTACTCTAATTGATGCCTACCACCTACTTCGATTGTTTTTGTATTTAGAGACGGTACGTGTGAAATTATTTCAATCCCTCTGTTGTCTCGTTTAGTTCCACCAAACATTGCGTCATCATGTCGACCTATAGAAGTACCTTCAGAAACTTTATCTTCCTATAAAAATGGGCATGGCAGTAGGTGTGGTTAAAATGAAATTAGATATAAAAAATACTAGATATACTATCAGTACTTGATTGTTCTTTTCTTTTTGACATGAAGCTCTGTGGTCTAAACTCATTCTCTGTTTCCAGCTCAAATACTTGTACCGGATTGGGTGGGGGCGTGGCTCCAGTAGGCGTGGTCTTGTCCAGGAGTACCTTTACTTTAGCTTTGAGCCTTTCGGCAGGAGTCTGATTACACAATAATTAATTAAATGCTTTTAATTATTAATTACCATGTTTTTGTATTCATCATTGTCAACTTTTGCCTGTTTTTCTTTATTACTAACAATAATCAATATTTTTTATTTCTTATTATTACGATTTAAAAAGGACCTTTGATCAGCTGATGTGGTTTTCTTCACATTAAGAGGTGATCGTGATCTGTCTAATTAATTAATTAATTAATACTGGTAGCATGCAGTACAATTGTACCTATACCTCTAAATAATCAAAATAATAGTAATAATAAGAATTAAAAATAAATATTATTATATATTAAAATTGATCACCACTACTAGAGGCTACACTATAAAAAGCTCAAGTATTATTAATCTATTTCTTATAGATATAGTTTAATACTTATCACTGCTTATATTACCTCTTATGCTGTCTGTGCCTTTCTTTATCTCTTTTCATATCTTCTCTTGGTCTTTTACTGCTCATTTTTAACACAGCATAATTGATTTTATTTATTCATGAGATCAATGAATGAATTAATTCTGATGACGAAACCGGAAGTAAACAGCATATCTCCCTGTCAGTCCCTGATCCATCTGCCATTTTATTATTATTATTATTATTATTATTATTATTATAAAAAGCACAATATAACACAACACACAGACACACACAATAAGGACAAAACAAGAAATAAGGGAAACAAAACAAGACAAAAGATAAACAAAGTACAAGAAAGAAAGTCAAGCACTGGCCATTATTATCATAATAATAATAATTATTATTATTATTAATTGTACGTGTATGTCATTTCTAATTATAAGTTGTACGATTAAAGTAATATGGAAAGAATTTTGCTTGACACTTTTTGTGGGTGGGACTAGCAGAAGTACACGCTAATTGATAAGGATATTATGTAATGAAATTAATAAAAATAACAGATTGGCCTTTTATGCATAGTGTATTCTGGTTGGTCGCTTGTTTTTATAAAGATACATAAGCTCACATAAAGTTTGATTCGTTTGTCCAGAGGACTCTGTTTCATAGAAAGTGATGAGGATAAAACCTAATACAGTTCTTTTTGTGTCGATAGTCTAGTATGAGTTTCCTTATCTTCCTGTTATCCATTAGTGACTGGAGGATGAGTAGTATTGACTCAGTAGACAATAAAGAATGCCTGAGATCTAGTTCAACTAGTGATGAGTTATTGAGGAGAAGGTGAGAAAGAGCCTGTCCACTAGTAGAAGTGATGAGGGGATTATTAAAAAGATCCAATAAGGTAAGTGTAGAGTTGTGTTCAAGTGCTTGACAGATATTAGTAACTCCTCTATCACTAATGGAGTGGAACCAGATGGCTAGTTCTTGTATTGTTTTATTATTAGCTAGTAGTCTACATAAGTACTGGATACAATCATTAGTTAATGGAGTGTACCATATCTCAAGTCTCCTCAGGTTTAGTGTATGCAGTTTAGCTGATGATAGTAGAGATACTGTACTATTAGTAGCTGAGTGGCTGAGTTTAATCCTCATATGATTATTATTAATATTACTAATCACTTCATTACACTGAACTGGAGGTGGAGAGTAAAGGGATACACTTTTCCTGCGCCAGTTCACTCTCCCAGTGACTCCTAATATAAACCAAAGGATTATACTTATATACATGTATGTACATTATAATACACATATTCACACAGGGTTGGGGCGAAGTACTTTGGTACTTGTAAACTTATACTTATAAGTCTTTTTTAAATTTTACCAATGCATGTACTTGTACTTATATTTAAGTATTAATTGGTCTATGTACTTGATGTACTTATAAGTCCAATGTGTGCATTATTAAACAGCTGGCGTGATTACATGTACTATTTCAGCGTATCACAGAAAGTAGGCATAAATTCAAGTGCATCACTGGACCACTGCTTTGTCGTCAACTAAAAAGTCAGCCACTCTCTTCATGTAACTGTAACTGAATGGCGTAATTTAAAGGACTAATGTTTTATAGAATTTATGTTTGTTAGATATAATAATGATTAATTATTGATTATAATTATTACTTAATTTTAAAAGTACTTATACTTGTACTTAAGTATGTACTTGTACTTATACTTAAGTATATTGTAAATGTACTTGGAATTTACCTAGTACTTTTCAATGAACTCCGCCCCAACCCAAAATAATTTACATCATGTGTATATACAAACACACACAACTTGCTAGTTGTCACTACAACCAATAAAAAAATACACACACACACAATACATATGTACATACATACACACATGTAATGTGTACATATGTAGGGACAGGAATATAATGTATAAAATTACATGTACATTGTACATGCTACATACACAAGTATGCATGTACACATGACATTACATGTACATGGATAATTATACTGACTGTCACAATAATCACAAATATTACCTTTATCATGTATTTCCTTGTCTTGTCTCAGTGCAGGTATCATAATAGGATCATCATTAATAGTCTCCAAGAAAAGAGAAGCTTTCTCATCATTACTAGATGAATCATTCCTTATCTTCTGTAGAATAGGAAGGGACACTTCTTCCACTGACAGTATAAACTCTAACAATTGAAGTGACTCCGACACTGAGTAAACACAACTACTAGGAATGCTTCCCTCATCACCAGACACCAAGGATCTTCCTTGGATCCACTTTAAACTATCACAGTTCTCATATATCTCCAGCTGCTCTCCCTCACTGAATGAAAGATGATGACCATATATTCCATGATGGTCACTACTTGTGATGTAAACAGATTTTGCTGTTGGTGTATCCAGTGATTGTGTACACTGATCCTTCTCTATACAATATATCAATCAGTTAATGATTTAATTACTAACATATCACATACTCTCAATATTTGCCCGCTTTTGACTCATCAGCAGTTGTACACTAGTGATTGATATATTTTCTTGAAGTAACTCAATCTCTTTCTTATACTCCACTAATGCCTCCTCTCTTCCTGTGATGAGGTAGTATAGACAGATTATACTAGTAGAGTCAGTACCTGCTTTCGTTAGGAGAGAGGTTCGGAAATTTTGAGTCTCTGATTTCTTTGATTTGAATGTTTTATACATCAACTTCCCTCTAGTCAGTAGCTTCACTATGACACAATGAGAATTTTAATTTATAAAAATAATTATACTGATTGTTCAAATGATTCAGTATCAACTGCACATTACTTTAATACATGCTTTAAGTTAGTACATATATACCTGATGTCTTCGGTAATTTCCTTTCAATATACTTTATAAAGTTATAAAATACATAAATAAAATATCTTCATCATTCATTAACTATACCTTTTCTTTTTCTGATGATATTCAGTTGTTTATCTTGTTCAAATATTGATCCTATATCATTAGTATAAGTAACATCTAGTCTTGCTAGCCAGACCCTTCCCGCCTACAGTCATTTGGGTGGACTACCCAAATGACCGTAGGTGGGAAGAGTCTGGCTAGCGAGACTAAGTAACATCAGTAATAGGTCAACTATCACACCTTCTTTGTAATCAAGTAAAGTCCTCAGTTCTTGTTCTTCTCCATCAGCTAGTTTAATCTCCTCTGCAAGACATTCATTATTCATTACCTATAATCAGTACATAATATTAAACAAGGTCTCATACAGTTACAGTATCTTATACTTTGTATCTGATCCTTTTATCATAGACAGTGTAGTGGCCAATGGTTAGTCTAATTAAACTGAATTCCTTGATCAAGACAGTTAGTTTGTCTTGTTCTTCCAAGAGAAGAGCAGCTAGTAAATGATGTGGACCATAACAGATGATAATGATGGAGTTCCCACGATGAATGCTTCATACGATAATCCTCTTGTTTAATTCTTTAAATGCTTCCTCTAAAAGTTGACGTATGTCAGCAAATGAATGATCATCTGGTTCCCATCCCAAAGTAAATTGAATTGATTCAAGATCATTGAAATGTTCAGGCTTATTCTGACTAAGAAATTTTTTCAATCATTGGCTAGCTATATTCACTTTTTCTTCATATTTTGATATAATAGGCTTTGCTTCAGTGATTTCAAACCGTTCTACAATTATTTTTATTTTGGAGATATTATTGACACGGCTTTTCTGTACTACAACATTCATAATGTCTTCAACACTATCAGCATTAGACAGCTCATCACTCAATTCAGGGAAGGATAGTTGAAGGAATGACTTCATTTTTGTAGCTGATGCTTTTGATTGAGATATCAATGGAATGATCTCATCAATAAGAATACCAAAACTTCCTCTGACCTCATCAAACATAGACTGATGTGCAGCATTGAAAAAGAACTCACCAGCTAATAATAAAATACTAGCATTATTGTACATGCAGCTATCATAACAATGTAATACTAAAATTATCTCACCTAATGATATTGGAGCAATAGATGAGCTTGATTGCCTTCTATTAGTAGAACGAATGATGCAATAATATAATAATAATAATGATAATAATAATAATAAGATAAAAAATACACATAAATATACTAAAATAGAAAAGTAATAAAAATAATTAATAATAATAGATAAAAATAAGAAAAGAATTAAAATAATAAAACCCAGTGATTGGGTTTTACAAATACGAATGCCACCTACAATAGTATACTAAATAGTAATCATTATTAATAAAGAATTACCTGATGGCATTGGAACAGTGTTATTATTAGTAGCTTTGTGGATATGTCCAGCAGCTGGTTTTTGGTTCATTCTCTCAAGTGCACTAGCTAATGATTCCCAAGTACGATTATTAGCTGAAGTCAACCACAAGCTCAAGCACTCCCTCAAGCAACGTGATGGATTATTCACATAAGTATCTTCAATATTCTTCAATTGAGGATAAGGTAGGTTTAATGCTAATCCAAGATCAAACCAGTTAGCGTCAATGAAGTGACTTTCCTTCAAAGCATCTCTTACTAACTGCAGATGAGTGATATCGAAAAATAATAAATAATACATAGACCTAGGACTAGCATTTAATATCATGGTGAAGGAATGAATGAGAATAATAGTAATTGAATACAGTAGCCCACACTGAGCTAGGGGAATACAATTTCTCTCTTTCTCTTTTAGAGTTTTACCTAAACTAAACACTCTGCTTGTAGCCATACCCTGCTGCTAGCTGCATAAACTGAGCTACGCCCTTTTGCGTGGGTGTTGTTTAGTGACTTCTAGCGCTGGCCAGCTGGCCGGGCCGTGCTGGATCACGTGATCTTCACAAGCTCCAAGACACAAAATGGAGGAATCAGCAATGCCAATGGACGAGAGCTATAAAGCGGCTCCTAAGAAGTACCTGGTACCAGTTGTATTTGATAAGAATGAGCATGGAGGAACCTCTGACCGAGAGGCAAGATATTATGATAACATTTCAATAAATAATTCAAAAATAACATTTTAATTTTAAATAGCAGTGGAGTCTGAGGGGAGGGCCTATGCCTGTATTATTGGGAATGAGGAGAATAAAGACTTAGAGAAACTATTGAATGTAAATAAAAGTCATTAATTACATGTACATCTCCTGACCCTCTCTTCTCCCCCACCCACTTTCTATTTCCCTTGCTCTATCTTTCATCCGGCCATTTCTCTCTCTCTCCCTCCCTCTCCTAGTCTCTCAGTGGTATATTCAACTGACAGTATTCACCTTTCATCTGATGTTCCTGATGGTTCTAATATCTTATTTATACTGAGGGACTTTAAAGGGAAAGTATTTGATCATTTATTGAAACAGAACTACAGGTAATGGAGTACAAGTATACATTATTCATTTATTTTATTTATTAATAGGATAATTGGTCCTCCTTGTGTTGAATATTGTGTAGCTAAGAATATTGTAAGTTTTAATGTAATACTGTATGTACATGTATAATACTTACATGTACATGTAACACCATCTCCCTCTCTCTCTCTCTCTCTCTCTCTCTCTCCCCCTCTGAGCATATGTTTACATGTACATGTCAATGCATAAATAATTCATTAAGTGCCAAACCAAAACCCAGCCTTAATTAATAATATCACCTAATAAATAATAATCACCTAAAAAGCACATGGTCAAGCACATGTTAAGTTTATAGTGCCAGGAGAAAAGAAACCAATACCTTCCAGTATGTAGTGGTAAGCCCAGTTGTGTTAGATAATAATCACAGGCCCTGTATATCTAGTGTCAGCACACATGTAACTGTACAAGCCATATTGGTAACAACAGCTTTTTAAGGCAGGCAGGGAGGTGAGAGTTTGGCCACTAAAAACGTTTTGACCCCCAGTTCCAGTTCTCAAGACTGGACTGCCTAGCCTGCTGTTCACCACGGCTTCATGCTAACACAGTAATTGTAAAAGTTTGTTTATATTGTCACATGGTATGACGACAATTGGTGTCTCTGAGTCGTGAACAGAGGGCTAAGGGCGAAAGGCAAGGAAGATAGCCAGGAAAGAAGTCTAGGCGGGTAGACAGACTAGGAGCATCAACCGACGCCAACACTCTGATGTCTGACTATCGACAAGAGTTGGGCGTAGTGTCCTCTCTTTTATGTCATAATATTTATAATATTTTTAATCTCTCTCTCTCTCTCTCTCTCTCTCTCTCTTTCCTAGTCCCTCACTGATAGGAAGAGGCCTGTGTATTCCTGTACTATGGAGGGTGTGGTGGCTTGTCTCACTGGATTCAGAAATGATAAAGAGCTTGCAGTAAGTTCACATGCCCACACAGTCTTTAATGATACATGTACAATGTAATAATCATGTAATGTGTAATAAGGACCTACATGTAGTGCTTTGTCAATGATATTAGCATACGGTCTAATGATGTTAACACTGATATTAACACTGATATTAACATTGATATTAACACTAATATTAATGATGAATGTTTAATGCACATGTACTGTACATGTATTAGTATGTACCCTATTACTTACATTGTATAAGTTTAATGCTAATATTAGCACACTGATGCTAACACTGATATCACTGATGCTAACACTGATATTAACAATGATACTAACACTGATACTAACACTGATATTAGCACTGATATTATTATTCTTATAGCGTGAGTTATGTGACATGATACATTGGATGGGTGGTAGTGTGAGGAATAAAGTATCATCAGCTGTTACTCATGTTGTAGCTAAGAACGTCATTGGGACCAACTACAAGGTACAGCTTCATTGCACATCATGTGTTAAGTATTAATTAATTAAGTATTAATTATTGATAAAGTGTTGATCCCCCTGTCATTAGAATGCAGTGTCCTTTGGTATTGATATAATGAGAGAAGACTGGGTTCATGAATCATGGAAGAACAGGACTAACCCGTGAGATTATAATGACTTATTATTGTCATTGTAGCATGACTTACAATGAATGACACTGAATGAGACTATTGTGTGATCCTCACTGACTGTAATTGTTTTTATTAGTGCTAGTACATGTACATGTATTTACAATTTATGTTTGTGTTTCAATAGGGATGTATCTGCTACAGACCCTGAACTGGTAAGATTAATCTATCAATTCTTGAAATTATGTACTAGGGCTGGGACGAAGCTTCCAAAGGTTTCAAGTGATGGCTTTTAAAGCCTTCAAAGCTTCATTATTAGTAGTTATTAATAGTTAATTTGAATAAAAGTTTATGTAGTAGGACTTTAACAGTATAAACAGAAGCAGGTGATAATTTTTTAAGTGTACAATGAAGCTTCAAAGGCTTTGATTTTTTTGAAGGTTCCAAAGTGACCTTCATCCCAGCCCTATGTGTACATGTACAGTATGTGTATCAACTCTCTCTCTTCCTCCCTCCCTCCCTCCCTCCCCTCTCTCCCTTCCTCCCCCTCTCTCCCTCCCTCCCCTCTCTCCCTTCCTCCCCCTCCCTCCCTCCCCCTCCCTCCCTCTCTCTCCCTCCCTCTCCCTCTCCCTCTCCAGATGGTATTCAAGCAGTTACCATTCCTTGGTTGTCACTTGTCATTGTTTGGATTCACTCCAACAGAGGCTGAGCATGTCAGTGAGATAGCTCAGACTAACGGTACACTACCAACACATGACTTAATGTCACATGATCTCATTAATGATTAATTATTGTAGGCGGAGTCATGTGTGAATTAACTGATGATAGTTTGACTCATCTAGTGATAGCTAATGGAGTGGATACTAATAATGTACCAACTGGTATACCACCAAGGACTCACATAGTCAAGCAACAAGTAATAGAGAGGATATTTATTCATTTATTTATCATTACCATTATTATTATTGTTATTTTATTACAGTACGTCCTTGATTATCTGTACCTCTTTTATCCGAACCCTCGTTTATCCGAACGCATGGCTGTCTCTAATGCGCATGCTCAGACTAGTTAATTTATTAATAATCGGTTAAAATGGCTACGCAGCAGGGAACTTAACCGAGCTTACCAAGAGAAATACCATTAAAGAGAACGCCTGAGATGCTCTGCAAGTTAGAGAAAGGAAAG